CATCTTTTATGACAACATAGGAGGCGGGCTACAGATAGGAGCAGTGACATGAGACATCACAATGAATGAAGACCGTGGTGTTATATGTGTACACATAAGATTAGAAAGACACAAATCCAGTCTATACCTTATAACTGAACTCTGGACTATAATACACGTGTGGACCCTTTGTCATTCTGTTCAGCTAGTCTTGTAATCCAGTCACCCTGCTTGCTCCGGACCTGCACTGCAGTTAAGCAATGTGTGATGATTTTCCTTAAGCATTGGCCACATGGCTGGCTGTTACTCAGCACTGCAACTCAGATAAAGCTGTACAGCACACCTGCCCTAATCAAGAGTGTGTAAATAGACTGCTGGACAGTCAGCCGGTGCCTAATCAAAAGTTTCCCCCTTGACTTTATGTCCGTCTGCTCTACTCAAGATAACCTTTTGCGTTTTGGAATGTACTGGAACTCTGCATCTGTTCTGACTCTGGCTGCTGTCTGTTCAGACGACCTGTCTAGTCAGCTGTCATCTCCAATTACATGGTTGGTCCAATGGATGCCAAGCAAGCTTGGGTTGGGCACACACCTTACAACCATCGCAAGACTTTTGTCTTGCGATGGTTGTTAAGGTACTTAAAAAAAAAAAAACGTACGATCTGAACCGAAAAACCTGTGGAGTAGACCTGAACTACAATTGAAGCTGACCGACAGACACACCTCAAGCTGGCTGACTGGGCAATAAAAGGAGAAACTACACACTGGTGTGATCATGTCTGTCCTCCTTTGCTTACATTAATCTGCTTAGATTAACCATGTTAGACTGACACCACTGTATATGGAAATAAAGCTGACCCCGCCCCCCCTCCCAGTTGGCTGCTGCAAGGGGATTACAAGAAAATAAAAGAGAAAACTTTTAGTTCTTTACAAAAAAAATCCATAAGGATACCACACAGTACTGACCTTGACCTGGCTCTGTCTGCTGCTCAGCTCTTCCTCCATAGCCTGCACTGATGTGCTCAGCATCTTGGAGTTCTCAGAGAGCTCGCTGAACCTCTCCTCCCAGCCCTCCGCCTCCTTCGACAGCTGCAAAAGCAATAGACAATACCCTACATCAGGTACCTGTTGTGCGTCCCCTTCCCCTCATACTAGGGATGCATCAATACCGTTTTTTCAGTATAGAGTACAAGTACCGATAACGAAAGTCCCATCAAGGAAGCTGGGTGGCGTGTAGCGACTCACCGCCCGGCTTCCTGATTAGCTGGGAAGCCGGGTAATGACTTGCCGCTCACCTTCCCGATTGGCCAGCTTCCTGACCCATGAGGAAGCCGGGCGGCGTGAAAGGACCGATTGGTTGGGAAGCTGGCTCCATGGCCAATCAGGAAGCAGGGTGGCGAGTCATTACACACCGCCCTGCATCGTGATTGGGTGGGAAGCCAGCTTCATGCTCCCTGGTGACGAGGGAGCAGGATTTCCGGCCAAACAGGAAGCTGGGCAATGTGTAATGACTTGCCACCTGGCTTCCTGATATCGGAATCATTTGGGAGAGGGAGAGTACCCATCCAAATACTAGTATCGCTACATCCCTGCCTCATACACATACATCCTCCACAGTGAAATTATCTACACATATCAAACATTTGTAGTTTTCCATTAAAATTATTTATTTTTTTACATTTTGCAGAACAAAGCGCGCTCACAGAGGTTCATTCAGCAATATAGAAATGCGTCCGCTGTAATCCAGCATAGGTTTTCAGCATTCAGAATAATCTGTTGCAACAATTCAGGAAGTTGCACAAACAAGTCTGAATGACTTCAAATCATCATCCATCCCCTTCACCTCCTGATCCGTACTGTCATTGGCCCACCTCCCACAGCCATTAGATTTTTCTGCTACCAATCATTTTTGCTCTTCATCATGTGTAGGCGTGATCTTTAGGGCTCATATAAGTCACTGTACTGCCCTTCCTGAGCATTATATAAAACACTTCCCTTTAGAAAGACATCCCTGCTGGCTACTGGCTGTTGCAGACTTCAGCTGTACAACCTGCTGATCAGTTGCTTAAAAGGAGAACTATGAGGCAAGTGGTTTTCACTCAGCCTCATAATCTGAGCCAACCTGTGACAAAGAAACTGTCACACGTCGGCTTAATAGATCGGGAAGTGAGCGAACACATACCGGCGCTCGCTCACTTCTCAATCTATCCCTGCAGAGAGCCGTGACTCTTGTCAGTATTGCCACTGCAAGGGTTAATCTTGTTTCTGCTTGACGTTTTCCTTTAAATGACCAAACATTAAAGTTTTAATATTCCTCTCTGACAGCGACATA